CTTCAGACTTGGTCTCTTAGGATCATCCACAGGTACCTATACTGTAGATAGGTCTTAGTCATCAGGTCTACTCCACTTCCTTGTTGCCTGCTTAGACTCTTGGCACTCTTAGGTGAGTAGACTTAGTCAGCCTGTGTTGCCCTAACATATACTGGGTGAATGGTGTTCAATATCCTTCATATGTGGAGGCAGCATGTGCCCAAGGCCTCTTTGATAATGATAATGAAGGACACTATGCTTTGCAAGAGGCTGTTGCAGATCTTTGTACTCCAGCACAACTACACTTTCTCTTTGCATGTGTGGTTCTGGAAGGGTATCCTGCTCCACCCTTATGGGATACATTTTGAGAGGATCTCTCAGCTGATTTTCTTTGGCACCTCCCACAACCTGTCACAGCACATAACCAGGCTCTTCTTTCTATTGGAGATATTCTTGCTGATGTGGGAAAGGATCTATCATATTATGGGCTCCCACACCCTGCAAGGCACTCAGTGGAGCTCACCCAAGAACTTGCTGCATTTGCAGGTCAGGAGCTGCAGTTGGCTGAGGCTGCTTGCATTGGCTATGCATGGCTGATGGAAGAACAACATGTGGTATATGATGAACTTCATGCATCTCTACTCACAGCGCAACATCAAGACCATGCATTTGGCCCCAACTTTCTTGAAGGCAGACCAGGATGAGGCAAGACATTTTTGGTGGACACACTCTTGGCCTGGCTCAGGAGCAATGGACACATTGTTTTGGTGTTTGCACCAACAGGCATTGCAGCTACCATTTATGAGCATGGCCAGACAGTGCATTCTCTCTTCTGCATTCCAGTGAAAGATGTTTGTGTCTCTCTTCATTCACAATTGCAGTGTTCTCATCTTTACTACTAGGACCACATTGGTATTCTCTCTGAAATCCGAATACCCTCTGGATGGGCAGATCTTATTCATGCTGCCAGCTTAATTGTTTTTGATGAGATGCCAGGTGCCAACAAAACAACAGGGGAAGCTATTGACATGGTTTGTCATCATATTATGAGCTGTGACATCCCTTTTGGTGGTCTTCCATTTCTTGGCCTTGGAGACTTCCGTCAGCTAGTACCAGTGGTCAAGGGAACAGGTGAAACAGCAGCCCTACAAGCCTCTATTCTCTCCAGCCCACTCTGGCCTATGTTTAAGATTCACCACCTCCATGCACCAGTGCGCAATAGAGATGACCCAGAATTTTCAGCCTTTGTGGATTATATTGGAGAAGACACCTCTGGAGAATGAGTCAGGCTCCCTCTACTTCAACCAGTATCTAACCTTGACATGGTCCTTGACTTTTTGTATCCACCACACATTCTGCAAGACCCTGTCCAGTGTTTAACTTGAGCATTTCTCAGCCCCCATAATGCAATGGTGGATACATTCAATGCACAGACATTGGAGTTGCTGCAATCAGATGAAGGTGCATCTTCTGACTCAAAGCAAAAAAAAAAAGAAACACTCACAACTTTTGCAGTAGTTTACACTAGCCTTGACTCGATCAAAGATGGAGAAGCCCTGGATCTGGATAATGAAGAACAAATGCCTGAATACTTAAACATGCTCACCATGCCAGGGATTCCTCCGCATGCCCTCACATTCAAAGTGGGGGCAATTTGCCTGCTCATGAGGAACCTGTCAGTGGCAAAGTGCTTGGTCAAGAATGCCAGAGTAGTTCTTGAAAAACTCAATCAATGCTTTGTTGAGGTATGACTGCTAGCACCTAATGGTGAGCTGAGCAGAGAGCTCTTCTGTATTCCCCACATCTGTTTTGCATTTCAACCACAACATTCAAGCTGGACAGTGATTTGCACACAACTGCCACTTTGTCTTGCTTATGCAACTACTTTTCATAGCTGTCAAGGGCTCACCCTTGGTAAGACAGTACTAGACTGTCATACTGATGTCTTCTCTCATGGCCAGCTATATACTGCATTGACCTGTGTGCATACATGAGCTGATAGCCTAATTTTTGTCCCCCAAAATTGGGACTTCACAGTTGCAAACATTCAGAGCAGTCAACTCATGTTGCCCTTTGTACCTATATAGCATATGGAATTCAGCTGCACACACATGTTCCTTCACTGCCTTACTCACATGCAGCGCACTCTAAATTAGGGTCCTTGTATTTAGTAACTACCGGATGACAACAATTGTAAAACAAGTGTCACCACAGAGGGTACTTCTATCTACTTCAGCCCCTGTACACGTGTTTCTGCTTCCGGGTCCTTGGGCTCCTGATGTTTGCCCAGGGCTGCGCGGAGCGGTTTGCTATACCCATAGCAAGCCATCATAAAGCAATACACGCTAGCTGGACTCATATGATTGGAGCAGCTTTCGAAGGCGATGTCCATATCTACAATTCTTCCCAACGGCTCGCTCCCTTTCTTTCTCCCGTGATGTTCGGCGAGCCTCAATCACGATGCTGAGGTAGCCTTCCGCAATTTTGAGGACAATAAGTAGCACAAAGTGCGTTATTGCTCATGCCCCAATCATATTCACGTTATGACACAGACGTGCATACTAGCTTTTCTGTCTGCTCTGACAGTTGTTGTTGCTATCTCCTGGACGGCAACGCCATTTAACCCGCTGTCGATACCCTTGGCAGTGCGATCTCCTTCCCTGTCCTGTTGTGAGGAACCATTGACCCTCGTTTTGCGGGATCTCATGTTATTTAGGGTTACCTGGTGGCAACGACGGGGGTAATCTTGCTGGTCAATGGCCTGAGTTCTGGACGGGAGCGGTTAGATTGATCTACTCATATTGGTGTCTCACTAACTGGTGCTAGACTCTCGGCTGGGCTGGTTATGTCCGCGTGGATAATACCACTTACGTGTACATGGGTGCTCCGAGCGTGCCTAACCTGTCTCCGCCGCTAGCAACTCAGACCAACTTCGCCGTAAGCCAGCGAGCATCTTTCATGATACAGCAAACCAGCTGACAAACAATCAGTTTACTTCAACTCAAAGCATATTCAAACTCAATGCCGGACCGATTACTCTTCCCGCGTCTTTTTTATCTCCTATTGAACCGAATGACCTTTTACGACAATCCTTGCCGTTCTCCTATCTTGCGATCTCAGTTGAATCCAATGACGGCGCTCCACATTCTGTCCAGATCTACTCAGATATCAGCGCAGAATGGGTGTCGGGCGATGATGCCTTGGTCGCCAGTTGGTCGACACACACGGGGGACATCATGACACACCAGGTACAGCTGCGAACTCAAGAGCTGTTCAGCGAGGTAAATGAACATACGCAATACGGAGCAGCGTACTATTCAGTGGTATGCCTACACATCCATCGTATCTGTTTCATTGATGATCTTAGAAATAGGCAAGTGGTGGTACATACCAAACCGGAGCAGATGTGAACGTTCGCACCCAGTTCATCAACAATGGCAAACTTACCAATACGGAAGATACCAACTACCGTGCTGTCGACCAGAACTGGCCAGTGTTTGGTCATGCATTTGATCTCGGCAGCGTGAGAGCTGCAACAGCACCCATTGTCTTCTCGATTGGACACGCGCGGGATCCCGCGTTGCAGTACATCGTCATGAACGACGGTATTCAGAATCGCAGGTCTTATTTCTTCAGCCAGTAAAATGGCCTACTCGATGTTGTGAGTAGTGATTATCCAAATCTTGACACCATAGGCTGACGTCGATGATGCATGTCTCTAGATTGCGTTTTTCCTCGGGGATTACTCTCGTGCACTCGCCGCCGCCAATGCCTTCGACGCTCACGTATACGCCGATGCGAGTACAATCTCCGAGGACTACGCAGCCATCGTCGCTATCTCCGCCCGTCAAGCCTTTGGTGCTAGAGTTGACAATCGGAACAAGCTCGGATGACATTCTGATGTTCATGAAGGAAATTAGTGAGCGAAAATGAAGCTGGAAGGTGAACGCCTTTTGATAGTGTTGTAGGCTCGGATGGAAACGTCAATACTGTCGATGTGATTTTCCCTGCGTATCCTATCTTTCTATACACGAATCCAGCACTCGCACGTTATCTCCTCGAGCCTCTCTTTCAATATCAAAACACTGGTCAATCTCCGAACAAGTGGAGCGGCCATGACATGGGAAGTCATTACCCCAATGCTACCGGTCACAATGATGGATCCGACGAGGCGATGCCTGTCGAAGAAAGCGGCAACATGGTTATCATGTCCGCCGCGTATATGAAGGCGACGTGCGTTATGTCTGTGCTAATCTTGGGTTGCAATGCTCACATTACTCTAGTGGAGATAGCGCCCTGGGATCGTCTTACTACAATCTGCTCCAGCAATGGACATCCTTTTTGATTAATGATTCCCTCATTCCCGCAAATCAGTGAGTTGGCCTCTGATCACGCAAACACAAACTTCATTTCTCATACAGGATCTCGACGGACGACTTTGCAGGTGCCTTGGCTAATCAAACGAACCTTGCGATAAAAGGTATTGTTGGCATTGCGGGAATGTCGCAGATAGCGAGCGCTCTCGGCAAGACTGTCGATGCGCAATACTACTCAGTACGATAAGAATGACCTCTTCATTGAAGCGTACTCATTCTTATCCCAGTCAATTGCGCAGTCTTACGTGCCCCTATTCGAAGGCTTTGCTACTTCCAAGGATGGATCGCACCTCGACCTGTCGTATGGTAACGATTCTTCCTGGGGTATCACATACAACCTCTACGCGGATAAGCTTCTGCAAGCCAACCTTTTCCCGGACCATCTCTATGAAATGCAGACAGATTGGTACCCGACAGTAAAGCGTGAGTGACCTTGCGTTGCTCCATCGTTCGTAGGCTGAGCGAGGCAAGCAGAACCGTATGGAATTGTGAGTCATGATGCTATCACATGACTCACTGCCTTCTTAGTCCTTTTTAGCCCCTTGATACTAGACATCTCTACACAAAGACAGGTCCGTCCTTATCATGCGACGAAGAAGCCGAAGAAGCCGATCTCATGTGTGGTCAGACTGGCAAATTTTTATGTCCGCCGGGGTCACATCTAACTCAACCAGAGATTTATTCATAGAGAGTGTGGCGTCGTTCCAGAAGGGTGGCTTGACGAACGAACCATTCCCCGATCTGTATGATACGAACACTGGAGAACAAGATGTCATCCAATTCAAAGCCCGGTGAGTTGTATTAGCTTCTCAAGGACCCACGCGCCGAGGGCCTGACTCTATTCCGCAGCCCTGTTGTGGGTGGTCATTTTGCGCATCTGGCACTGAAAGCCCTTTGATAGCAACTGTGTCATGTTATATCGATACGCCTCGGTGATGATTTTTGTAACGCCTCGGCACTACATAGTGACCGATGTAGAATACAATGACACATGTGTCCCGTGGAACGAGCGGATCGGTCGTTGGAAAGACTTGCAAACAAAGTTCTCATGAGTAAAACCGCGGTAAAACAGCCCCAGTCGATGTTGGGCGAAGTGCGCATGGCCCTGCGGAGGCAAATATTGGGTCACCTGTACAGGAGATAAATCTCGCACTCTCTTCCAAAATCCTTCAAGTTTTCTGCTACCACTTGCTACACTTCACATCCATCAACTGCTTAACATGGAAGGGGATCTATCTCTCGAGCAACGTATCAGCGATGAGCCTTCGACCGATCGTACTCTAGGCAGTGCCAATGGGCATGACGCTGAGGCGGACCATCTTGAACCCCCAGCCTCAGACGCGGATGCTGCCCAGGAAACCGATTCTCCCACAAAAGGTGGTTATGGTGGCCGATGGAAAGCGCAGAGAGAAGCGAAAGTGCGTATCAATTCAGACTGGGTTGTCGAACATCGTTCATTGATTTTTCTTGACAGCCTAATAAGGTCTACATCGGCGGTCTGCCCGAAACCACACGCGACGAAGATCTGCAGAACTGCTTTGGCAAGCTTGGTAACGTGGTCAACATTGAGCTGAAGCTTGGCTACGGCTTTGTTGAGTTTGACAACGTGAAGGCTGCTGAAGAAGCTGTTGCTAAGTACAACGAGGGTTATTTCATGGGCAGTAAGATCAAGGTCGAACAGTCTCATGGCGGAGGGAGGACATCCAAGTACAGCAACGATCCTGGTGCATGTTTCAAGTGTGGTCAACACGGCCATTGGGCCAGGTTTGTCCATTGTTTGTTTTGATGCATTCACTCAGCTCTGACCGTATCACCAGGGAGTGTCCGAACGGTGGTACCAGTATCCCGGGAAGGAAATACGGTGCATATGGTCGACAAGACTCGTTGCTCACCCGTATGAACGGAACAAAGGACTATGGAGCACCTCCCAGGGATGCAGGGCGCTTTGACGACAGGGAACGGTACCCCCCTCCTCCGCCTCGTGATGGTCGGTACGACTATGGTCGTCCTCCTCCCCCGCTTCGTGATACTCGTGACTACAGAGAACCTAGAGATATTCGGCTCCCACCATCTCCTCCCCGTGATTATCCTCGTGAATATGTTGGTGCTCCTCCGCCTAGGCGCGACTACTATGACGATTATCGAAGGCCAGAGGGAAGGGCTCCGCCCCCTGCTGTTCCGCCTCCCCGCTACGATGCTCGTCCCTATTATCCTGAGGCGGCTTATGCACCTCAGGCTGCTGGTTATCCACCTCGTATTCCAGACTATCCTTCGGTGGCTCGTCCCCCTATCGGTGACCCCTATGCTCCTCGGCCTTACGAGCGCCGTGATTCAGGTCCTGGTGTTCCTCCTCCACCAGCGGGCGATAAGTATGGCTATCCTCCTGTACCTCCTCCCGGACGGCCTCGCTCTCCTCCTCCAGTGAGGACTGGCCCCCCGCGCGATGACTATGAGAGAGCTCCGCCTAGGTGCGTGGAACGTGGAAGCGGCAATTGGGAGCTGGATGCTTATTGACCATGCAGGGACTACGCGCGTGCACCAGACTATCGCGCTCGGTCTCCTCCCCTGTCTGCTAATAGTGCTGCGCGTTATCCGGAGTATCCACCGCGTGATGCGACAGCTAACGGCTACAGGTGAGAAATTGCGGTAATAATCATTGTTACGTAGTATGCTTAGCGTCATGATAGACGTCGCTCCCTCTCTCCGCGTGCTGGCTCCTACCGAGGCTATCCTGACCCGAAGACTGCTGGTGGAGTGCCTCCTTACCCTCCAACGAACGGATACTCTGAGCAGTCCTATGGAGGTGCTGCTAGCGCTGGGAGCCGTGCTCCGCTTCCTAGAGAAGCTCTTCCTCCACGGGACAGAGACTATCGTGGAATGCCTCCCTCCGATCCAAACTACCGCCGTCCATGAAGATTTAATGCAAGATCTCACCAAAGCGAAGCATCTAACGACTAGACAACTGGTCGGGCGAGCTCTCTTTGTAGCCACTGCGACGTCCAAGCGGATAACGGCTGCGACAAACATTCCCAGGTTCTTTCTCTGATTTCTTTGCTGCTTTACTTCTGCGACAACACTCAAAATGGCGCGAAAACGATTATGCTTTTCTGAACCTTCTTGTTTCATCTCCGTGCTGACTGTGTGCCTGGCGCCTTATGCTACAATCATATGCTATTATTGAGAGCTGGCCGATGCGAGGAGCTAAAATTGAGCAGAACACTCCATGGCAAAGCACTTCTGCTGTTGAGAATGCTGGTACCTTATGCTATGCGACTGTCACTGGCGTGGTCCAGAACAGATTTTGGCCCTTGTAGAATTTTTTCGTGCTTTGGGTCTCAAAGTTTTCGGTAAATGGATGATGAATATAACATCACAGCTCTCCACTTCAGTCACCATCGGTCTTCTCATTCCTGTCCTACCGGTTTCCTAGTAATAGTGTTGCAGTGAAACTTGCCACCGCGTCTCCAGGGTGAAAGCTGGTTGCCTCTTTGGCGATCGACGTTCTACAATGCCCCAAATTGTGCATCGCCCCTCCGTTTTCCCCCTGCCTGGCCCACCTGTCCGGAACCATCTTTCGAGGGGTACTATTACATGCACAAGGTTCTTGTTGCTGGTCTATTCGGCTTAATGTGCGACGCTCATCATGGCATCGATATCATTACTGGAATCTGGTCGGTGAACAGGCCCATTGCCGCAATGCTATGAATGCTGGAGAGCTTACATAATATAGACGTACTTCGGGATTGTGCTAATGAATATACGTTTCATTTTTTTTTGGTTCTGTGTGCGTGAGAGAGAACCCCGTCACCAAATGATAGTCATTACTGCACCTTAAGTGTTCTCATGCTGTGATGCATGCTGTGGGAGGGGCTGAAGGCGTACCAAAGTGGAAAGGGTCTCATTGTTCAGGGCCGGCGTTAGTGGAGGTATTCGTGGACAATGCACGAGACCGCTTCATTGCCTTCGCAATTTCCCTTGTCCAGATACAATTATTGGCCTTCAGCACGCGATATCCTACCCTCTGTGAGTATTTTGCCGTCAATTTGCAGCATTTACATGCTTTATTTACTCTGTTTGTCATATCTACATATGCTAACATTCGCAAATTATATACAGTAAGTTGAGAGGAATCATCTCGCCAGTAAGTTGCATCGTCGCGCCACATACGAGTCTCCGACTCACGCGCGTTGCCTCTCTTCGTCCACAGGCAAACATGTCTACAACCGCACTACAGTTTGGTCCAGAGTGGATGCGTAAAGCCCCTCTTTCGACACCGACGTCAGCCGTACCTCCCACGGCGCTCAAGAGCGACCGCGGGACGATACCGTCAACCTCACCGGCGGCCAGCACTGGTTCACCTCTACCTTCCACCGCTGCTCAACAGCTGCAGGAAATGGAGGGGCGCAGTTCGAGCTATTCCAGCATATTGAGTGACTTTGGACAAGGGCCAATTACACCTGTGACTGGACTCGAGGAGGACGGTAACCGTCCTTTTAGGTGCGATCACCCTGTTGTCGTCTGAGCTGCTGTGCTAACAGGTGAGACTAGGTACTCCAAAGAACAGATGGTCTCCGTTTGGCGTGACGGAGGTGGACGAGGGGATCTACCAATCGATGTCGAGAGATGGGAGGGCGTGACTCAGGAGGAAGGACGAGAGCCTGAGGCCGTGAGGGAATGGAATGACGAGGAACGTCGGGTCCGTACGTCTCGGTCCTAGCTATGGAAGGATCTTAACGCTATTTGGCCCAGTTCTACGCGGGGCCGATCAATTCTGAGCCCCCTCGTCGTCGCGCTGATACACTGTCAAATGCTCCGCTGAATTCGCCGGTTGGAGATCGTCCCCCCAGAGAGAGAAGGGAGACTTTCGGCAAACTTGGTGACGCTGGTCCGCCCAGTCCGATGCGGGAGAAGTTCAGCAGTAGCGGACCTTTTAGTGCAAGCGTGCGCGGAAGGAGGCGTGAGGAAGGCTCGGGAGGTTCGTGTTCGAACAGATCCCTATCAGAGAGGCATTCTCACGTCGAAAATCTAGATATGCCTTCACCAGTCCGGGCCCGCAACTCATCCTTCGGACAATCCTTTTCCTCAGGTACCCCTCCGACGCCAGGCGGACTCGGTGCTGGACGAAGGGCCATGGGTACATTTGACGGTGTGCTCGGCGGTGGAGGCAGCAGAGATGAAGGCGTGTGGAGCAGGCGCAAACCCGCTGATGCGAGCGGCGTGAATGGTACCGGCACGAGCTCTGCTTTCGGAGAACGCAGGCGGCCACTTGGACTGGGATCTGGTGGCACGGAGGGTTCTGGAAACGCCACGGTGGCTTGGAGCACTGGCACGTCGCTGGCACGTCATGGGTCCGGAGATGAGCCTCATATACCGGAAGAGAGGGATGTGGAACAGGCCACGAACCTTCATCAGCCGCCTATGGAACATCATACGAGCACCGGACTACCGATATCTCCCTCCCCCGAACCTATGGTGAGATCGTACGAGGCTGATGTGGCCCTCAACGGTGTCCCCTCTGCTATAAGTGGTCTTTCAATGTCAGCAGATCAGCGAAGTATTGGCATGGGTATGGGCAGCAGTCGAGGCGGGCCGAGCCCAGACATTCCTCGCACAACGTCGACTAGTAGCATCTCCCCAGAGAACATCAATTGGTACTACAAGGATCCGACTGGTCAAATGCAAGGTCCCTTCCCGGCTCCCACCATGCAAGAGTGGTATGAAGGCAATTATTTTCCAGATGATCTGCTTTTGCGGCGCGATGGCGACGACTTTCTCGAACCACTGCAAGAGCTGAAACGTCGTGCGGGTCCTCATGCGAAATTGTTCCTCTCTATCATTCCGCCACGCACTCCGCCCAATCTAGTTCCTGTATCCCAACCTATCCCACAACCGTATTCAGCCCCCGTCTTGGAATCTCACCCCAATCCTATCTATGGAACGCCGAACTACAGTAACATGGATACGTACGCCTCATCGCCTATCGTCAGTCAACAGCCAGGATACGGTATTCCCCAACGACAGCCCTCATTGGATTCGTTCGGCCCGATCAGTCCTGTGGTACCATCATCCGTCAGGCATCCATCTCCTCGGCGTACGATAGACACATTGTACGCATCTGATGCGACACCGTATGGTGCGATCGGTCCTTCAGCGTTAGATCGTGAGAGAGCAAGACAGCGCGAAAGAGAGGAGTTCATTCGCCGCGAGGCGTTGATGACCCAGCAACAGCAAATACAGCAGCAACAGCAGCAGCAGTCATTGGCACCTGGCGCACCCGTACAGAGGAACGGATATCGCAATGACACCCTCAGTCGGGATTCCCTCTACGACTCAAATGCTCCCATTGGGAACTTACAACGTATGCTTTCTGAATCTGGCCACATGTCACATCCTATGGATCAACAACAGTATTTACCACTTGTCAACCCCCCCAACTACGGTCCGAGGTTCCAATCCCCCATTCAAAACACGATTCAAAACACGCAAATGGAATCCAGTCATGGCTTCCCAGTGCAAATGCAACAGCAGCAATCCCATCAAGGCTCTCCGTGGGGAGTTGCTCCGCAAATCCAATATCAACAGCCCACACCCATGGAGCCAAGTTTTGATCCTGCCATTATCTCTTCTGGTCCTCAGATGGGCGGTCCGCGTTCTCCTTTCGAGGTTTCACAACCCCAGTTCCAGCATAACATCTCTTTCGGGCAGCAGGAGCCTATGCAGGAGCCGCAGCAAACGACGAACGTAGCTTGGCAGACCCAGGCTTATCAGCCACAGGAACACTGGGCGCCGTTGCCGCCTCAGCAGCACGTGCCTTCAGTCCCTGAGCCCGAGCCGCCAATTAAACCTGCCAGCCCCGTGATTCCTCCTGCACACGAAGCCGTGGAGATACCAGAATGGACTGAAGCGCCCTCAATTACGGACTCCGGGCTAGCAAATGTTGTGCCAGTCAACTCTCCTCAGGTCCCTGCCCCTATTGCTCGTCCCCGTGGTGAATCTCTTGTGCAAGTTCCGAAGCCTACGCCTGCCACCACAGAGCCCAAAATAGCTGCGCCTTTGCCTGCGCCTCTCAACACTACCTCAGCGTCAACCACCGTCACAGCACCCATTTCATCTCCTGTAACAGCTGTATCTCCTGCTCCCCCAGTAGCCGTACCCACTCCCTCATCCGCTGTTGGCATCCCTAAGCCCGCTCCATGGGCCAGTGCTGTATCTCCGGTGGATGATAAAGCTAAGGGCAACCCCGCCACATCTCTTCGACAGATTCAGGAGGCTGAGGCTCGCCGGGCGGAGGCAAGGAAAGCTGCTGAGAAAGCTGAACGTGCGAAACGTGCCGCTGCCACTCCTGCGACTCCTGCTGTAGAAGAGGCAGTCCCCGCAACCCAAAGTTGGGGTTTGGCGGCGCCCGTGGCTTCTCGGGCCGCTGCTCCTGCCCCGGAGCCAACTGCCCCTGCTGCGCCTTGGTCCAAGACTGGTCCTGCACCGAAGAAGACGCTGAAGGAGATTCAAGAAGAAGAGGAAAAGAGGAAATCTCAAGCTGCAGCTGCAGCTGTTGTCGCCGCTGCCCATCAGGGGCTTCCTGCCGTCGCTGCGGCCGCCAAGAGAGGGTATGCTGATAGTGCTAAGACAACGACCTCCTCTGGGGTGTGGTCGACTGTGGGTCCCGGTGGGAAAATTGCTGCTGCACCTGCGGCTGTTCGTCCCACCCCTGTGGCTCAAGCCTCTGTCAGTGCCGCTCGTTCACCAGCTGCACTCGCGCAGGCGACCACGGCCGCTCGCAGCGTACCCACACCTCAGCTGGCCAAAACGCCGGCAAAGGTTGCGTCCCCTGCACCTAACGAGAGCGACCCACTAGTACCATCTGCCGAGTTCATGAGGTGGCTGAGGGATGCCCTCAAGGGTCTGAACGCTGGAGTGAATGGTACGCCGATTTTCCTCACTGTCTGACTTATTCTAAGCCAGTTGACAGTCGATGAGTACATGCACATGCTCTTGTCGTTTGCTCTGGATCCCTCACCTGCGGTGGTCGAAATCATCCAAGAGTCTATTTATGGAAACAGTTCTACTCTGGATGGACGTCGTTTCGCAGCAGAGTTCATCTCTAAGCGCAAAGCTGATGCGGCACTGAAGAAAGCTGGCGGTAGCACCGCAAGGACATCGCTCGCTGATGGTAAGCGCGGATCTTACAAGCCTGTAACCATTGTCTGACCGTATTGCTCAGTTGTCAAAGCTCAACCCAAGCCAGCCAGCCCTGATTGGAACTTCAGGACAGTAGTCAAGAAGAAAGGAAAGGGGAAGAATTAGGGTGTGATTGTTGTTTGCATTCTTTACCGCCCTAGACTTATGTAATCACAAGCAATATATATATTTACGCTTTGGTCTTGATGCAACTGATCCCGTGTGAAGACTTTGCGTGGCTGTGAGCGGAGGCAAAAGCAAAAAACGCTGCCGCCGCATCGTGAGTGTGACTTCAACGCGTCTTGTCCCCCAACCACCATCATCTCCCCTTTAGCAAGGCGTTTGTCGCTGTTCCATTCTCCCAGGCTCTCCCTTATCATCTCTATCGCTATGGCTGATAATGCCGAAGAACTTGTTGACTACGACGAGGATCTTACCATAAACGAACCCGCCACCGCCCCTGCGGCGACTGCTGTTTCAACTACTAACGGACATGGCGCCACCGATGGCGCGGGGGAGGAGGATGTGGAGGACGAGAAGAAAGGATTTGGAACTATCCACTCTACTGGGTTCCGGTCCGTGGCTATCCTTCGCGCCTCATATATCCCTCTCATGTTTCATGCAGGGATTTCCTCCTGAAACTCGAACTCCTCCGAGCTATCAGTGAGCTTGGTTTCGAACATCCTTCTGAAGGTGCGCTTTCTGCGGCGGCAGAGCCTCATATGCGCATGCGACATGAAACCGACGCGCGTCTACACTTCTAGTTCAGCAAGAATGCATCCCGCAAGCTGTCCTTGGCATGGATGTTCTCTGCCAAGCAAAGTCTGGACATGGCAAGACAGCTGTGTTCGTGCTTGCCACGCTGCAACAGCTGGAACCAGTGGACGGCGAGGTCACTGTGCTTGTCATGTGTCACACTCGAGAGCTTGCGTACCAAATCAAGAACGAGTACGGGCGCTTCTCGAAGTACATGCCTGACATTCGCACCGCCGTCTTCTACGGTGGCACACCCATCAAAAACGATATCGAACTGCTCAAGGACAAGAATCGGTGTCCTCACATTGTCGTCGGCACTCCTGGCCGTCTCAACGCGCTTGTTCGAGACCGTGTCCTCAACCCGAGCACCGTGAAGCACTTTGTTCTCGACGAGTGCGACAAGATGTTGGAGCAACTGGGTTAGTCATGATCTCCGAGTCCGGCCTTTGTCATTTCGCTTGTGAAACTCAACCCCCGGACTGGTGACGAGTCGCCCAATGCGCATATATGCGAGTCCTCCACCTTCGCTTCTGAGGTCAACGCGTCGATCTTCACAGATCCATCTTACGGGCCTTTGGTTCAAGAGATGACGATGCGAACAGCACCGCTGTCGACTTGTCCATGGCGGCATATGCCCCTGCGACACTCAAATGCGAGGTAGATGCCGCTGAAGAGTGTCTCTTGCACGGACGCGTGAAGGGGCAAGAGTTTGAACGGCTTTTTTTGTGGTCCATCTTCTACTTTAAATTCTCACCTTCGTTGGACAACATGCTCATATTTCTCGGCTTCCCCTTGCCTCAAAAGATATGCGTCGCGATGTACAGGAGATCTTCCGCGCTACACCGCATCATAAGCAAGTCATGATGTTCTCCGCCACCCTATCGAAGGAAGTTCGTATAACGTGCAAGAAGTTTATGCAAAACGTGCGTGTTCTTCCTGTGATAAAATATGATTCTGACAGTCCGTGCAGCCACTGGAAATCTTTGTGGACGACGAGGCCAAGTTGACCCTGCATGGTCTGCAACAGCACTACGTCCGTCTCGAGGAGTCGCAGAAGAATAGGAAACTCAATGACCTGCTCGATACCCTCGAATTCAACCAGGTAAATCAGGCCAGCCGGACTACTGGGCACCTTTGCTTACTTTCATTGCAAGGTTTGCATATTCGTGAAATCCGTGGCTCGTGCAAACGAGTTGGATAAGTTGCTTGTGGAATGTGGTTTCCCTTCCATCTGCATTCATTCTGGTCTGCCACAGGAGGAGCGTATCAAGCGGTATCAGCAATTCAAGCAGTTCGAGAAGCGTATTCTTGTTGCTACTGATATCTTCGGCCGTGGCATTGATGTCGAGCGTGTTAATATCGTCATCAACTACGACATGCCTACCGATGCTGACTCATATTTGCATCGTGTCGGGTGAGCAACCCTAGATCTCTACGTGGTTCCCAAATTCACACATGTTGCAGTCGTGCCGGCCGTTTTGGGACGAAGGGTCTTGCGATCACCTTCGTTGCCAATGATGCGGACGCGGAGATTCTCAAGCAGATCCAGTCCCGGTTCGAGGTTGCCATTCCGGATCTGCCAGCAGAAATCCCAGCGGAGACTTACAGTAAGCTTTAGCAGTGCGCAATGATGGATTTTGTCTGACATGTATCAGTGGCCAAAAAGGCGTAAAACTACTGGTCACTCCTGGGAGGCCTATTTCTCGTCCAATCTCTCATCGCTAGCTACATGCTTTTGTCTTCTCGTATCGTGGCGTGCATAATGTAGTTGAAACTGTCTTCTGACCGTGCTTGTACATGTAGCTACGTAGTAACCGGGGCCACTGCTACCGTATGCGGCTTGTCAATGTCACTGTTCCCTGGTCGTTGTTTGTGTTCATCGAAACAACCCTGGGGATGACAGGGGTCTCAAGGTATAAGATGTGGTTTCACAGTCGTGCCGTGGATCTGCAGGAGCAAATCACTGCAAATTGCAGGGCCCCCGGATAAGGTCAGCATAGGTCAGTCAGGTGACTTGCACCTACACTAGCACACATCAGCTCACCTATATCAACCCGTTTCCTCCTACTATGCATACACCTCCCTCCTCTTCCCTGCCTTCTCCCTCCTCACCTAACCAAGATGCCTCCTTGTCACCCTTGCTTGCCCCCTCCTGCACCAGATGACTCTCCTCCCCCCATGCTCACCTCTCTCCTCTGCGGTCACAGCCACATGTCCCTCCTTAATGAGCTCCTCATTGGCCTGAACCCCCATGTGACCAATCCTGAGAATGTGTTGATACATGAGACGTTGGAGGGGTTTGCTGCAAAGGAGTGCCAAGTGTGAGTGCCCTTCTTCTAGCAGCACAACCATATTACTTACCTGTAATATGGTTGCCCCTCCTCTAGGCCCTCCTGTCAGGGCACCAGCTCATTGCTTGGTCAAGAGACATGACTAAGCCTTTATGA